CACATTTGTTGCCCCATCAATAAAAGAGAGATCCATGTCTCTAGTTCCATAGCATTGCCGTGGTTTCATTGCGTTGCCACTAGATTATTGGTCAGAGAATGACAGACATTCAGAGCACTCATCATCCACAAGAGGTAAAGGGGAGTTTGGACTAAAGGATGAGTTCAGTGTTGGTATCTTTGGGTCCTCAGTTAGTGGTCTAGGGAGTCTGGAGTTCACAAGATGAGGCATATACCAGAAAATCTTTTCCTTTTGCCCTGCTCTTAGGGACCCAGGAATCAGGGTTTCTCAGTAAAGCAAGGAAAGAGGAAAAAAAAAAAAAAAAAATTGTCAGAGGAGCTGCAGATTGTTGGGGGAGTCACCTTATTATGATGGCACTAAACCCAAGAAAGTCAGCCCATGACTACTCCAGGACAAAGAGGTCCCTATCCCCTTCCTTGATGCAGGAAAAGGTCTCATTGCAGGTCTAGACAACATCCTTCAGCATAAACTGAAGCCTGCCGGTGTGTGGGTGATTAAAGAGTTCGCAAGACACAGGCTTCCCCTTGTGTGGATATGATCTCCTGCCTACTAAGGCACTCTACGAGTTTGGTATATCTAAATCAAGCTGGTTTTGATGTCAAAATGGCATTCCCCTATTTAGAAACACATGTCACTTAGGCTGGAATATGGACTGCATATGTATGCTGGAAGGCTCAGGTCTGAGTGGGTCTGCAGGCACCTGTATGGCCTTAAGCCATCCTTGAAGTTTTTAAGTATATTATGTAAGAAATTGAAGTAAGTTGCCTTCAGAAATTTATGTGGGAATGCCTGAACAGGCTAAAAGGCTTCAGAAATAATTGTGACATATTTCTATTATACAGAAAGTGGAATTAAAACCTAGAGTTTCAACAGGGGCTAGACTCCCCAGCTGGATCCTTAGGGAGCCAGAACCATGTGCAAGGCTGGAAGTGGCTCCGCAGATTCCCTAGCTGTGAGTGACAGGGCTCAGTTGACTTGCAGAAGCTTTTGCATGAACTATCCTGTATCTCAAAAAAGAAAGAAAAAAAAGGGCCATGTGGACATGTAAAGGAGCATTTTAGTCTGTCTATCCTACAAGTGAGTCTTGACAACCTGAAACAGCTTTAGAATGTGGACCATATTGGAGGCAAATGGCAGGCATATATTTATAGCATTAATTGCCAAACTTTCAAAAGCACCGTACTGACCTGCTACAGTCAGTGAAAGAGCACAGCTCATGCTTAGGCACTGTCATCTGTTCCTTGTTTTTCTTCAACATTTATATGGTAGTATCACCAACCTGGACGGGCTCCAGTGTTGTAAGAGTTGCACAAGCCCAAAATATTAGCCAAAATATTTTCTGAAACATGGCATCTGGAAATGCCAAGCTTAGAGATGGTACATGATATAGTGGGAATTACAGGCACAAAATAGGAAGGTGAGGGCAGAATATGGTGAAAAATTCCACCATTCATGTATAAAATCAGGATCTGCTCAGATGATCTGGCTGGTTGCTGCCATGAACAGATGCTGGACTCTGGAAATAAGGGGTTGGAGAGATATCGAGGAATAAGTCATAATGGTTGAGAAGGGAGGGAATGAGAGCTGTGACAGAGAATCCTGCCAGCCTGGGCTGAGGAAGTTCACCTGCAGAGAGGGGAAAAGGCAAAAGGAGTGGATGACATTCTTCTAGAAGAACCAGAAAGGTCAACAATGTCTTGCAAACCTCATTGGAACACAAAAAGTTGTCTCTGGTTCCAGTTATTTCGATGTGGGCTCATATGCCCAGCTCTGGTGCTGCAGTAGTACTGGAAATAGTTCCTGTCCCTGCAGTGGTTTTATTCTCCAGTGCAGTGTGCCTCTTTGACCTAGCTGATATGCATGAGAGGCAGTTTTTCTCTCTCTGAGATCATATCTTTTCTGCTTACAGCAGGCATCCAGCAGCCGAAGCCTCCTCAAGCTCACTGGCATGGAGGTCAAGTGGATTCACGTGTTGGTCATCTTCTTCTTCCTGATGTCTGTTGCGATGACAGGCTGCTTTCTGTGGCAGTACAGCCTCCCCAAGGTGGAGTCCAGTGAGTTCTCATCTTTAAGCTTGGTTTGCCACAAAAATTTATGAGGCCAATAAATGCCTTTCTCCCCCATGTGGACATTTTTCCCCAAAGAGCACACAAATGTACCTTCTCCTAGCTGGTGCAAGGACACAGAGGAGATGAACATTGGGTTGATGATGTACAGTAACTCTGCTGGACTCCAGAGAAGTTACTTCTGGTACTAACCTAGGTTAATTGATATACCATGGAGACATTTTATTTTACATTCTCTCTTTTTCTTTAGCATCCTGTTGTAAAAATCATTCAATTTAAGATCACACAGTTTAGAATGGGATTTGTTTTACACCTTACTGTGTGCTTCAGCTTATTGGTTTGCTTCCTTTCCTATTCCCCTCATTTTAGATCTTTGAACTTAAGCTGGCTCAAGCCCCCAGTGCACACTAGAGTTCCCTTGTGTTGATTATAGAAAAGGCAACAGATAGACTCAAGGCACTGTATGAGCAAGGATGAAGTATATACAGTGTAAGTGGATCAGAGTTTTAAGTAGCCCAAAGGTGGCATAAAATCCATGGTCAAAGTGCCAGAGGTACTTTATAGACCAATGTCTGAAAAGATTTCAGTCCCTACATTTTTATCACACAGTATCAGAGGTTGCCTGTAGGCTTTTGTGTATCCATCCCCATTCACTTCAAAATTTTAATAGTGTTTTTTCTCTTCTCATCTGTATTTCTAATGCTTCATGCTCAGCTGGTAAGCAAAAAACTAAACAAGCACTTTGTTTACAGTTTACAGAACAGAGAACCTGTGTTTATGAACACCTTGAGATCGTTTCGGAATATAGTTCCTCCAAGTAAGAGAGTTCCCATCTCTCACTGAGTTTAAAGATATTTGCTTGCCACAAAGTTTTAAGATATGTCTCTGGCATATGCAGGTTACAGCTATCTCTGAAGACAGCTAATGTACTACGTATGAAGCCTATCAACAGCTGCTGCAGGGTTAGATTTCAGGTGGCACTCGCAATTCACTTCTACATCCATTTTCTGAGGTTACAATATGCATGGAACAACTTTGTCCTCCTGAACCCAAACTCAGACTTCCCCGTAGACATGGGCAGGGCATTTTCATGGGGTCTAAACCCACTGTCAGGTATTCTACAGAGTCTTCTATAGTCTCAGTTCCTTACTCTTCCAGGTTGCAGAGTCAGTTGAAGCCCATTCCAGCTCCTGTCCATCCTGCATCCATCCCATGTTGGAATGAGAAATAACAGAGCACAGTGCCCTCTTCATGTCCTGTTTTATGTGAGATAGAAATGATTCAAGGTTGTCACTTTCCTATGCTGAAATGTCCTTCAGCTTTGGACAGCACAAGCAAGAAACGTAGTGCTGACTGCTAGATGAGGTTAAAACATGTTAGTGTGTCTAAGTCACATATGCTATCTTTGAAATGTTTTCCAGGCCCATCTGTAATGGACATGAGAGCAGAAGCTGTGCAGATGTGCCCCCGCTATCCAGAACCAGTACCGCTGGACCACCCAATCCCCATTCTGAAGGATGCATTGGGAAAGGTCTGTGAGGAGAACAGAACAGAGGGACATGGAGCTCATGACTTCTTTTCTGAAGGTGTAAAGGGGAAAATATGTATTTTGCCACTGAGCATCTCTGGGGGAAGAGGTGGGGAATTGAGGAAGTGGAGAAGATGTGAATGTAGAAATGGGTATACAGAACTCCTTCACTGAATATACAGACCAGGTCAGTAAGCAGTTCTCTTATCCAAAGGGTAAGCTATGATGAAGAAACAGTATTACCTGTCCATCAGAAGATCCGGTGAGCATATAACAGCACATGGCTCCTGGCATCTTGCCTAATATTAGGCAGTTCTCATGTCCTGGAAAGTGACTCATGTAACCATTTCCTCTTCATCAGTGACTGCCAATTCCTTATTTTATTGCTTTGCTGGCTTTCCCCATGGCACCATTTAAAGATTAAAAAGCCACTTGCAGGTAACTTCAAGGAAAGAAATGGAGGGAAATGGGAAGAAGGGGACATGCATCTGAATGAGAGACCTGTTTTTCCTCCGTATGATATACTGCCTCTGAAATTTTAAAACTGTCTGAAATTCGGGTAGGCTCTATTTGCAATGAGGAAATACCGCAGCATTGCCTTGATTGTATGGACCATAAGGACAGCCATGCTCTGACAGAAGACTGCTGGTAGTATATATCATAAAATATATCCTCTCATTAGTCTCTTTCTCATTAGCAGCTTGATTAGTCATAATAGAAGCTGCCCCACAGCTCTGATCATTCTTTTTACCCTTTTTTGAATCTCTTCCGACTCTAGCATACTCCTGTGAAGATGTGGGAAATCAGTACTGTGCACAGTATTCGAGGTGCAAGTGGATTAGGGATTTATACAGTGATAAAATGGTGTTTTCTGTTTTATTTTATGTTACTTCTCTCATAATCCCTCATATCTGATTTACCTTTTTTTTTTTTTCTGCCACAGGGCACTGAGCAAATGTTTACATAGGAGCATCCATCACAGCCCCAAGGTCTCGTTCCTGAGTGCTAAAGCCCAGCTCACTGCCCATCTGTGTCTATGTGTTGTGAAGTTAGGGTTGTTTTCCTTCAGGCATGTCACTTTATCTACACTGAATTTCGGTTGCTGTCACTTCACATCCACTTTTCTGAAGTCTGTGCCACTGTCTCTGGGGTTACTGTAGAGAGGTATTTTATTCTTCGATTAGGATTAGTCAGAGAGGTGGAGGACCGTGCAGAACATTGAGTGTCCATCAGTCATATAATCTCCCTTCTTTGTGCTCCTCAGAAATTAAGTATCCAAGCACTTCTTTGAAGTAGGCTGGTAAAACTATTCCTATTTTGCAGGTGGAATAAGGCACAGAAAACCTGAACACTAGCTGCTCAGGAAGACGTAGGTATTTGAAGGGGGCTGAGTCACCAGCTCCTCAAAAGCATATCTTCAGATGCCCTTAGGTTCTGCTCAAACCCATGCTAAAGATCTTGCACTGAGACAAACTACCATCCTGTGCCAGGACAGGGACCCTGGAACTGGGACTCTGGACAGTACCAGATGCTATTATATTGTATATAGGGGATAATTTTTCCTAGCATCTTGAAACAGGAGAGTGATATTCTTCATGCAGGAGGCTTAAGGAAACATTTCTCTTAAGGTTAAATACTTTTGCTTATCAGAAAGGCCTATGTTTTACTCAGAAGAATCTTGCTAGTGGCCAAATCCAAATGCTGAGTATTGGATTCAATGACACTCAAGTTTAGAAGAGCATCACGTATTTCTGTCAACTTTCTGCAGGTGCAGGCAGGTCTACACACTAGACTCTCTCTGAGAAAACTCTAAGGAGGACGATGCTTGCTGACAGGAGACCAGTCTGTTCTCTAGAGGTGCTGATGTACTGACCATACTAGATGGGCCACTGGGACATGGGGAAGGGAGGGTAAAGAACCAGTACAGAAGGACTTGGCACAAGTTGGGTGTTTCGCTGCTGTCTGTCAGTGCACCTCACCAGTCCATCCAGTGAAGAGGTCCTGAGGACATGACTTGGCTTGGTCTTTCTTGTCTCTAGATACTGGTCTTGGAAGGCCATTTCTCATGTCTTAACCTTTCTGTGTGAAAGATAACTTGTGCATGATGATGACATAGCTTTGGAAAAGTCACAAAAGAGCATGACCAATGCATTCTGCTTTCAGGAGGTGGGTGGAGCACAGCTGGCTCATTAGATCTGTGTAACCCTGGCACCACAGGGAGCAAAGAGCAACCACAGCTCTCCAGTTGCTCAGTGCTATTTCTCAGATTGCAGTTTAAACAGGAGTCTTAGCTCTGCATGCTTCATGGCATGAAAAGTGTCATGGGCTATTTGAAAAATCTGAATCTTTTTCTCATACATCTTTGAACCTAAAATAGCAGTGCAAAGAACAGATGTGTGCAGTACAATTTTAAAATGAAGCAATTACAATTATTAGGTTTTAGCTTTTGGTTTTAATCATATAAACATCATAGGTATTACATGGATGAGCGTCATATTCTTCTACACAGTGGAAAGAAAAGTATTGGATAATTCAACATAAGCAATTCAAAGGAACAGTACAGTTAAAGTATTTTCTTTTGCTAAAACACTTTTGAAAAAAAATCACTCTCAAGTGCTTGGAATTAAGAACGGCTGATAGTCTAGGTCTTCTACTGCCTGTTACAGACTAGACACATTATAAGACTCTAAATTTGGAAATTCATCATTTCTGATCATTCTCCAGGTAGATCTGATGCTCCGCCAAAAGGTTCATAGCTCTGGTCTCCCTGCAATGTCTGCCATTGTTATCTACAACGACACTGTGCTCTGGACAGGCAACTTTGGAAAGAAGAATGGTTCAGACCCCTCCTCAGTGGTGCCCAATGAGTACACTATTTACAGGTGAGACGGATATATCACAGCCATGAGAGCTAGAAAAAAAGCAGATATACATACAGAGATCTGGTATCTGGGAACAGAGCCACTGTCACAAACCCCATCCTCTACTGGCTCAGCTCTACTGAAGAAACCCCTTCTGTGTTACACTGAAACTTTCTGAAACAATGCTTTGGCTAGTCACTAAATTACCATGTGCTTGCGGATTACTGAGTTGTTTACTTTGGATTTTTTTTTTTTTAAATTTGATCTGACAATAATTTAAATTGGAATAGCAGTGACCATCCTGAAGAACCTGAAAACATACTACTCCTTACATAGGAACGTCTCCATGCTTTGAGGAGGCCTAGGGCACAAAGCTGAAAACTGAGAGCTAGAACAGATTGAGCAGCAAGAAGACAGTGCCATAGGATGAGGAAAAAATGGCTTTTGGGGAGAATATCTACTAAACACATAAAGTAGACCTGTATACTTATTCATTCTCCCAGTGAAGTCAAAGCCATATTGCTTATTATCTTTTAGATGAAGATAGAATCAAGTCCTTAGTGTGTGTTAAATAAAAAACCCAAAGGAAGTGTTTACTTCCTTTAAAGATTTTCAGTAATTTATATATGAAACATATGGGCTGCACTCTAATTATCAAATGTTGTTCTCAGAATAAACAATCCTGGAAAGTTTCAGCAGCTGTGATTACGTTTTTTTACCCTCTCTGTATCATGGTGAAATCCCTGCATAGACGACCTCATGCTATTTCTTCCAGAATCATAGAATGGTTTGGGTTGAAAGAGACCTTAAAGGGCATCTAAGCTCCAATGTCCCTGTCATTGGCAGGGAAAGGGGAACCCACTCCTGGGTGGGCTCAAACTAGCAAACATTTGGTTAACAGCCAAACAGGCTAAGTAATAGACTCCCCTTCCCCTCATCCACCAAGTCAACATCATTTATGGTTGGAAATATGATGGTACCTGATCATCTTCAAACCTCTGACTTTCCCTTCTGATTAATGAAAACATTCTTAGCAAGTCCTTTTTCTCTAGGCCATCTTGCACCAGTCCAAGTATTTCATCTCTAGCAGCACAATATGAATGCCTCTGGTCGTCCTTCTTAATCACAACCCTGTATCTGAAAATCAACAAAATAGAACTGGAATCTTATTCCAGGACACTTTTGTAAATTTAACTCTGTTCTAAAGCCATCCAAATATCAACACTGAATATGAAATTTAAAACTCTATGGCATTTTAACCTTAAAATTCCAATAAACTACTTGTAACTCGTTACAGTATTTACTAAGCAATAATTTACAAAATATGTCATCTTATGAATACTAAATGAACAGAAGAAGTTCTGTAGCCCAGTTCACTACTGGGGAGATAGTACTGAAGGTTATGTTGCAGACCATAGAGGGCAGAGTCTTACCTGTGTTTGAGCCATTCCGTTCTGAATTAACATGTAAAGCTAAAGGAGTGGGGCACTTGGGTGATCTTATGTACTGATCATCTTTCGTCTTGTTTCATGGGTTTCTTCATGCTTAATTTCTGTAAATGTTTGTTCCTTAACAGAATTGCCAGTGTCTCCAAGATCTTTCCCACCATTATGTTGTACAAGATGTGGGAGGAAGGAAAAGTCACATCTCTTGATGACCCATTGGAACGTTATGCCCAGAACTTTGTTATTAAGAACCCTCTGGGAATGATCAAGGAATCCGAACAGAGATACACTGCAGATGGGCTGGTGTCTTTGGAAAAAGGCTCAATGCCGCTTAAGCCATCACCTGTTACCTTGCGCAGAATGGCCAGCCAGCTCTCAGGTGAGACAACACTGCTACCTGCTTATCCTCTGCTCACCACTGTGCCACTTGAAAAATACCACAGAGAGAACAGACCATATGTCGAGGAAAAAAAGTTGCTGTTGAGGCCATTTCTCACTATGGACCCTGCACCTTTGCACTTCCCAGAGGTCAGGCAGGACCTTTGGAAGCAAGCTGTCAGCAACTTCATGAAGTGCTAAAAGGAAACTCTTGCCCAGATCACCTGCTAGGAAGGAGGCCAAGCTGCACGGTGGGCTGAGGAATTGTTTTTGCCATGCAAGGTGAACAGGTATTTCTTTTAACACAGTTGCATGACCAGGCTCCAATTGCATAACAGTTTTTTGTACTCCAATTTAGAGTGTTCTCATTTTTCTGAGACATAGAGGGTCAAAGTGGCACCAAACCTCTTTGCTTTGAACAGATAGACATTGATTGCTGAGCTAAATTTAGCTGTCAGTGTGGTTCCTGATCTGGGATTCCTGAGCTATTAATAGCTTTGTGCTTGCTGGCAGAGGACTATTAATTCTCTGCTACCTTCATAATTGGGTAACTCTTACGTTAAAATAGAAGGAGCTCACAGGACTCAGGAGAACTTTAACCTTTCTCAGAAATAAAACTGCTAATACATGACTCAGAGATTTCATAATCTAATGGCCAAAGAGGCTGTGCTGATATCTCATGTCGCATTTTGATTAAACTCTGTAGCACCTGCATCATTCCATATTGGAATAAATGTCCTAAAATTAGGATCTAAGATCAAAATAGCATTTATCCAAATGGCAGTACCTCAGGACAGGGTACAGCATTAACTGACCTATCAAAATAAGGGTTCCCCAAAAAGGGATAATATAACTGAAATGTGGAAACAAACTAACAACCCAAAGTGGCCAGTGGCAGCAGGAGGCAGAAAGAAATATGTGCACAACCCTGCCCAACTCCTCTCCCTGCAGACAAGGTCTTGCTCTAGCCAGCCTGATGATGTCCTCAGGGGCACCTACTCTGCCTGCTCCCCTTTGACTCAGGAGCAGGTGAAGCTGGTCTGGCTGCCCCTTGCAGGAGCAGTGTGTGCTGCGGCTGCAGCTCCCACACCTGCTGCAGTCCCCTGTCACCTGGTGAGGTGTGAGGTATGCCCTAGAAACACCTGTGGGAAGCATATGTCAAATGTGTACCTAGTCGTATCATAATTGCTTGTAATGTGCAGCCATTCCATTGCTTCCATTGATGTCCTGAATTTGTGTCCCTGCTCAGCTCCTTCTATGTTTCCATGGTTTCTTTTTTTTTTTTTTAGAATGTGGCCCAAGTTTCCCAGATCACACCAGCAGGGTACACCAACCAGCTTGGACCCTGACAATGTAGTAAAAGGAGAAGCAGAGTTTCACAATCCTAACTGAAAATCAAGTGAATATTGAGGTCACATGTCACATTTCCTGTCTGTCAAAACCCAGAGAGGAATAGGTTCTGCCTAGCATCAAGATCAAAGTCACTTCATGACAGAAAAGTGACAGTAAAGTGTTTTTCATCTAAATCTTCCAGTGGAAACTGATCTATAATATATCCTCATTATCTGGGCTTTTCTACATTCCATATTACAAAAGTAAGTCCAAAGATTTTTCTCCTCAACACTTAATGGGTACATTGCTAGAGGGAAACTCCAGCTTGTTAAGACTGATTTTCAAATATATATGAATGACAGCATTAGATGCTATTGTAAATTGTTAACATGATGCTTGTCACATCAGTTTGCAGCCCATGATGTATATCAATGACCGTGGGCTTTCTGTTACGCTCACACTTTCTCTGGTTTGCTGTTTTTAATGAACCCCAAGAGAGACATTGCACTGCTGTCACGGCACTGGTTGAACTCTCCCAGTGGTGCAATATTTTCTCTGCTGCCACTGTGGCAAGTAGGAAAGGAAGGAGCCCATTGTCTACTGGAAGATGCTCAGTGCATCTCTTATCTGGTCATTCAGATGCACAGATAAGCACAGACCAGAAAGAGAAAAAGTGCTCTCGATCTAGTTCAAATCCCAAGGTCAGGCCAATTGAGAAAAACAGATGCTGCTGCTACCGAAGAATCAGGCCTCAATCCGCTTTGCCATGATTAAGCACATGTTCACTAAGCAGATGATTGCAAGTCACTTTTCCGTCATGTACCCTTCCTGATTTCCTACTAACCTCTAAATCAAAATCAGTTGTAAACTGCAGTGAGGATTTAATTCCAGATGTAATCCAAGTTCTGGACTTGGTGAGCTGTAGATCCTGTGCAAAAGGGCTGTGGCATTTTAAAAAGTCTTGGCCAAAAGTTTTTAGGGAATCCATGTTTAGTGTTATAGAATTAAAAGTGAAAAGAATGTCAACATTTCTACATTCAGAAACCCTGAATAAATGTTCTAAAGTTGAAAAAAAATAGCTAGAAATATTTTAGGCCAAGCCTGGAATGGTTCAGAGAAGTTCAAGCCCTCTGTAGCAAGGTGTAAAGAACAAAAACCTGTCTAAAGGGGCTGTTAGACACCTTTGTAGTCAAGGCAATACAGTCACGTGGAAATATGGACAGGGATTTCCCCAACCACCAATATGCCCTTCTCTTCCAAAATACACTTGGGGATACAGCGTATTCTTAATCATTCATCAAAGTATTTTTGCTGAATTGTAGCAACCCCGATTCAGTGCTCCATGAATTGAATACCGTGTCCAGTATGAACTGGTCCTTGCAGCGCACTTGCTATGTGCATAAAGCACACGTGTACACCACTGTTATTTCCATCTTGCCATTGAATCTTACCTTTTGCTCAGTCTCCATCAGACTCAAAAATTCCTGGACTATAATTTCTCTCAAATTGTTAACTTCTCTTTTCCATGACACAGGTCTGCCCAGGAGGCTGCGATCTACCAGCCTGCTGTGGAAGGGCAATACGCAGGATGCTCTAGCTCTCCTCAAAGATGATGTCTTGGTTGCTGATCCAGGAACCAGGTCAGATATATTCACTTATGAGCTTTTGGTCTGGGTTTGTGTTCTCCACTGATATTAGCCTCAGCTGCAGTCTTCATGGCCAATGGATAAAAGAGCCATTCCTAAAGGGATCTTCAGCCATCTTAAGCTGTAAAGAATGACTGTTGGAGGTGCCAGGAGTTTTTCTTCATGTGTATAGAGTGAGTGAGAAGCCTGGATGAGGCAAATTAAACTCATGTAGTTAGGTGCAACGAGCCTTAAATTGTGAAAGATGCGGATTTTCAAAAATGGAAAGGCATATTAATTCAATCAGTTTAAATAATCATGGATTTCACTTAAAATCATGCTATGTCTGTAGTGATTTGCATGTCTCTAAAATATCTGTAAGTTCTATTAATGTTTGTTACAATTATAGAGCCTGTTAAAAGTTTATTACCTGAGTTGCAAATACTCAAAGATATGAACAGGATCCAGCAGACAGCATGTGAGGGAAAGGGCTCAGACTAACTGTGAAAAACTTTCTAAGTCTGCAAAATTTTTAGGGAATAGAATTACATTCTGAAATATTTTGCCTAGAGTTGCTGAGGATTCACCATGACTTGCAGTCTATAAGCTTAGAAAACTCAACAGCTCAATCATGGCAACCCTGTATTAGTTCTGTCCCATGTCATGTAGGAGGTTCCTTAAAAGAATTTTAAGACTTTAATACCATCAGCTTCTTTGGTATAAGGACATACACTCATAGGCTCTCAACCCCTTATTATTTGACATGTTGATAGTTTTAACTCTGTTTCCCTGTTCCTGCATATACTTCACAGCTAACAGATCATTCTTCCTGAAGGAGATACGCATGCATTGATATAGAAATGTTAACATATTTTTCTGGGGATGTTGAAATTCACCTCCACTTCAGATACAAAATTTAGAATCAGAATGTATTTATTCTTGGGGTAGAAATATATAGGCTCATCATGCTTTTATTCGGTTAGATGGTCTGGAAATGGTTGAAGTGGTACCAAATTTATCATATATATAAGCCTCGGAGAGATGTGTGGCTTCACACAATTAAAAAAACCCCACAAAACAACAATACAAACAAAGTTGAAAACATAATGAATTTTGAAAATGTGTTTGAAAAAAAGTTGCCCATTCATGTCTTCATGTCATTAAAATTCATTCAGTTATAAAGACTTAAATCACTTTATGGATATTAAAGACTGAAGCACTCAGGTATCCTTCATGATTCAGCATTGCTGGACGCTGTTTTGTAGACTTCTAAGTGATTTTTAAGTGCTTTTACCATCTTAAGGTAGCTTAGGTGCTTAAGTGATCATACTATGTTAAATCTCCCAAGAGGCTTACCTGGGATTTTGAGACCTTTAAAGTAAGGACCTGTAACTCAACTCTGCTCTTAAAAAGGATGGATATATTCTTTGGTGAACAATTATAAACAATAAATCAGGATATGCAAATATATAGGGGCTTGCATAATGTTTTTTTTTTAGCTTTCCATCTCCAGCTCTCTTTCTGTACATAGCACTTCAATAGCTCTGTTGATGTTCCCATAAGAAATTTATCTTTCTTGACTTAACAACAAACCAAGGCAACAGCATACAGTTTTTCTCTGTCCCTCCTTCAACTCTCCTCTCTAACATGTCATTGCATAAAATGAGAATTTTTCCACAGAGAAGGTAGATCTAGCCACTGTTTTTGTGTAGTCGTACCCACACCACGTCACTGAGGTAAGGCTGATCCAGCTATATTCCTCTTCCTTTTCAGATGTCACTACAGCAATTTGGCCTTCTCACTGATGGCACATGTGCTAGCCAACCATGCAGCTGAGGGGCAATACCAGCACTGGATCTCAGAGAACATCCTTGATCGCTTGGGTATGGAAGACACAGGTTTCGACATCACACCACCGATCCGATCCCAGATGGCTGTGGGTTTCTACAGGAGCCGGCAGCTGGCCCCTCTCTATGACCTTGGCTGGTACAGGCCTTCTGGCCAGATGTACTCCACAGCTGCTGACCTTGCCAAGCTGGCAATGGTCTTCTTAGGCACCTATCACCGTCGTCTCCTAGAGCCTGACACAGTGAAGACGATGCTGACGCCTCTGTTTAAGTGCTCCACTGAATACTTTGCTAACAAGACTGGCACACCCTGGGAGATTAATGAACAGCTGGGCTATGATGTCATTAGGAAGGATGGAGACCTTGACGGTTATTCAGCTACCTTCTCTCTAATCCCCAAGCTCCGCCTGAGCTTCATTGTGCTGATGGCAGGGCCCAGGCCTCAGGGTGGAGATATTGTGACTCAGACATATGAGTATCTCATTCCTGCCATGGAGACAGCATTCAGAGAGGCAGAGAAAAGCTTGATTCCTCCTCCAAGTCCAGGCCCTTATGTTGGCTACTATACCTATTCAAACCTGACTTTCTATGAGATTAAAGTTGGACCTGGTGGGGTGCTGGTTATGCAGCAGTTTGGGCCTCACGTGGAAGAGCTGATTCCTGAAAAGTACCGGACAATCAAGCTCCACCACTTGGAAGATCGTGTTTTCCAAGTTGTTTTTGACAAGGAGTTCCCATGTGTTCTGCACCTGGGCTCTGCCTCCATCTCACTGGAGACCCAAAATGGGCAGCTCTTTAACTTTTATCCATTCGACCGCAAGGGTTTGTCTCCTGGCTTTGATGCACCAGGGCTGAACACATACAATGTGGTGCGTGTACTTCATAAGCCTGTATTCTATAGCTAAATGTCCCCTCTACTTTTCTGACCACTTCTGGGAGGTGGCTCCAAATCTCTATCTTACCAGACTCTCCTGTCTGTGTGGCTTTATGGGTGCCATTTAAAAGGGAAAGATGGTGGCAAATTATTCTTTTGCCCAACAAATATGTCACATCCCCCTTCTAACATGACTTTAATGCAGTCCTTGGCAGTGCACTATATGCCAGCAAGCAACTGGGCATGCCTGCAGAAATGAGGTAGAAATGTGCTGGATGGATGGTGTTTGGATGCCATAAAAAATCCAAGCACTTAAGTCTCCACACTTTCATTGTCTGATGACCACTGTGGTGATTGACTGGTATCATCAAAGGGCTGAGAATTTCCTGTGTCTCTCAGAAAACATCTCTTCTTCAGTCCAAGGGTTTTTCCAGAGCTCTTCAGGACCCCATCTACCATGAACAAGATTCCTCACCTGGATTTGTTAAAAGCATTATGTGCTAGAAAATGGCACAAGCCTGATACCAGACTCTGCTTGTGATACCTGGGAAGTGAGGGTTCATTTCTTTCCTGGATCACAACAAGGAAATCATGAAAAGAGCAGACAGCAAGGTGGTTACATCTTGGCTCCATGGACTTCTGCAAAAGCAGTGGTCACACAAAGGATATTGTAACACTTAAGTACAGAAGCTGAAGCTTAGTCCTGTGAGCAGGGCCATATGAACATATGCTGGTATATTTTAGCTGAACTCAGGTTTGTGGCTATCTCAATATATAGGCATTTAAGTACAGGAATGTATGGGAACCTTTATGTGTGTTTTGGGCAGAGTGTCTATGGATACATACCCACTGTGTTTAGGCAGGTATGAGAGAGGATGCTGAGGGAAAGTGCATTAGCCTGGGGGACACTATATTCAGGAGAGGTGCACCTGCAAGTAACCTGCAAAGCCACAGGTGTGTTTTCTTCTCCCTTCTTGTGCCCACTCAGTGCCAAGGCAGGCGGGACTGGTGATATGTCATTAATGGCCAAAACCATATCACTGTGATGAAAAAAGTGTCAGACACAAGAGCAAGACAGGGCAAGTACCACCGACTGAGATCTCTTGCCTCCTGCAATACCCCTTCAAGTTTAGGAGAGTATTGTGGTTGCAGCCTTAACTGGAACCTGGAAAAATAAAACAAGCAGAGGGGCAGAGAAAGATGACTCTTACCTTAAAACGAGTATCCTAGCTGCAGAGTATGGCAATGTCTGTACAGCATGGAAATCCTGAAGAAGTGCAAAAGGGTGGGCACTAGCACAATCAAAGACTCTTCAAAATGCATGTTCTCTCATGCTCCATCTGGCATGAGGTTGGATCCCCTTGCAGAGTCACCTTCTGCTCTTTGCCCACACAGTCTTGAAAGTGGGCGTGTCTCAGGATGAGAAAATAAATCTCCCTGCCTCCCTTCTCTCTTGTTATCTCTCACTCTGTGTGCAGTTCTTCAACTTCAGTTTTGAATAGAGACCATCACTGCAGTCCTAGAAATCTATGATTTGCAAACTCGGTTCCCTGCTTTTTTCCCGACAATTTCAGTTCCATGATAAACATATGAAATAATGTAGCCCTTGCCTTACAGGCAGCGTGGTTGCTGCTGTATTGGTTTCCTCTGGACTTTGTAGGTGATTACATTTCATACCTTGTAGAACCTCATATGTTCAGTTTTTAATCTGGGCTATAGCAATTGCAATAAAGTCTATGCAAATTCTTGCTGCTGTCGTGTGTAACCATGCCCAGAGGTATGTGTGCAGGCAGATGTGTTGCATTACGGTTGATTTCCTGTAGAGGTGCCTATACTGTCATGACATGCCTGACACAACAGCGCTTTCCAAGCTTTGAGCTCTCAAGATGTGATGTCTGATAGCAAAATATTTGAGCAGTCTAACCCTAGTCTTTTTGAGTGAAGGCTAAGTGCCCATTTGGGGCTGTTCTTGCTCTGGAACAAAAGAAGTGACTGTTTACCCATCAGCTACCTTTAAAAGCTTACAAGAAAAATTAGTATTTATATTCCATGTCAGGATGAAACATCACACTGGACTGTCTCCATCTCTCTAACAGAGAGGTTAAAATGTTTTACTTTTCAATCAGTAATGACACTAACAAGTCCTTCCTTTTCTAGTGAGTGACCTTCACACTTCGGTTCTCCTGTTCGTTCCCATAACAGCAAAGTACATTTTGCTATTCGTAGTGTGAACCCACACCTGCAGTAAAGCTCATCTCACAAAACCTTGTCATGCTGGGAAGGTGAACAAGAGCTTCCTACACTGCCCCTTCATGGGGGCAGGAGAGTGCCCTTACCTGGCATGGACAGGAGAAAGGAGACCTTGGGATGCCTGTACAGAGGATTTGGGAGCGGCTGTTTATGGCAGGCAGGAGAAGGTGGAGTTTTGGAGGACCATAGTCACCCACGGAGAGCAGCTGGAGTCACAATGCTGAGTAAATTCTACAAACGTAAATGTCCAATTTCTTTCTGTCACTTCATGACTAACAGTATCATAAGAAGAGCAGAACCAGCTTTTGTGACCTGACTCATGTTAGCAAGTGCTTTATACTAGCGTTAACAGGTATTAATAAACTTTCCATTTTAATACAGAATCTAAGTTATCATTCTAAGTTAATTTTAAAGTTTCTCTGTGTGTTTGTTGCTGAATTAAAAAATATCCCAATGTTATTTCATCCACGTCAGAGACTGGGTCCAACAATAGGTACAACAAACGTAAAAATGTACCCAGCTGCTCACTTTTCACAGGAGTGTGTTTTAAATGGTGACTAGGCTGCAGCAGCCTATAGAAACAGTGTGCTTAAAAATGTGGTTTTATAATTGCTCATCAGGGAAACAAACAAATAGAATATGCTTCATTAGCATTCCCAGTGTCAAAAAGAGACTAGAACAAAAATTACTCATTGGTTCAGAAGACTAAATTCTGCTCTAAGGAGCACTGGTGAAGCCACATAATATTGTAATAGTGTCTCTGAGAACTGTATTTAGTCTACAAGCTAAAATGCTCTGGGCCACTAAGAATGAAATTAACCTGGTAAAACATAAACAGCTTCCTCTGAGCTAGCCCCTTTAAACTCCTTTCTACTCAGTGACATTTAATGACTCTAGTCAGTAGGATAGATACATCTCATCTTAAAGCACATATTTAGACTAAGCTGATGGATCACACTCTATGAATCCCCAGCCTCCAGCTGGTTGAGATGGATCCAAGCCTTGCTATGCCAAGTAACTCTTCAGTTAGAAGTGAAACACTTTCATAATCTGCCTGTCAGGTAAGGGCAAGTTCTCAACTTCTTGCATCAACATTGCCCTGAAGATCTGAGGTTCATTGATTAGCAGGCCCAAAGCAGAACATGGTGATGTTTGTTGTGGTTCCATGATAGCATAACATTAGTTAAGATAGATAACTTCTTCCCTTTTAGAAGAACCCCATCTTCAGGAATATTAGCTCAAGTGAGGATGATATCAAGCTTAAAGCTTCAACATACATTTTGAAAACATCAGTTTATCCCTACATGCTTCATTTCTTCTTACTTCACTTCTCAGCCAGAGCAATGTGGCCCAGTTCTTTACTGGACAGCAGCTTCGAAGAGCTTTTCTGTTCTGATGATGGGAGTAAGATGATGTGTCTATGTGCCTACAACCACCACCAGAGCAGAACTCAGAAAACAAGGATGAAGTCAGGCTAGCAAGGACTGAGCCTTGGTCTTGGAGTCTGAAAGTTTATTAAACACTAACTTTAAACTCCCTGTTTTCCTCCTCAGAAGCGCATTGATGTTCTTCTCACAAAGGGATGTATTAAGTCCCCATGATGTGAAGCACAAGCTTTTTTGACTTTTCAGTTCCACAGGAGCTTGTAGGAGTTGTTTAAAAAAAAAAAAAGTCAGCATCTACCCTTTAAGAGAGATTAAGACAACTGCTGGGTCAAAGCCAGTCACTGTCTCCTTTTCACCCATAAAATGAATAACAACAAATGTTGAAATATTTCACAGTTAGCAGGAGAGCTACAGTATATATTGCTATTAGGTGTGATTCTCACTCCAGATAAGGTTGTATATGCTTCAAAATGCAAAGGCTAGGAGCCTGTTTGCAAATTTAATCTTTTCTTGTCCATCCTTCTGCCTTTATGAAAAGTCTGACATCTCATGACTTGGTAAGCAGTCACAAAGAAAATAGATGCCATAAAATCTCCAGTGCTGTCTACAGAGAATTAAGACAATCTCCATTTACATGTAATAGGTATTTGTGCAGCCCAGCTGAGCGTGAGCTCTTGGCTTGATGTGTCAATGGCTCTCTGTATGGCTCATCCTTGCAGACATAGCTAGTATATCACCAACAAATGCAACCTCTGGTAAAATCCTGTGTTTGCATGAAAGAACTCTTAGTTTCAGGCCTGTCTTACTTTTGGACTCCTGGTCTTGTGACTGTGGAGAACACACTATTTGGGCAGTTTCCAATATCAATAAGAGACATAGCTAGTATCTGAAGTTCAGTGTCATAACATGAACACTACGTTCAAGTGAAAAGTATCTTGTCCCTGGTCTTGCAGCGACTCCCAGGGGAGGGCCGGACTTCACACCCATCTCAGCAGGAGACCAGATATTGGTAGTAGCTATGGAAATGAGAGAAGAGGCTGTAGCTGATAGGACTGATGTCAGAACTGAACTAGAACCTTAGCAAGATGTGGACACCCTGGAAGATGATGTGCACCAGATCTGCCCAGGGTACACCAAAGCTCCACAGCAGCCTCTCTGCCTGAAGTACTATCCAGATTGTCATGAACACCACTAGCATGACACATGCAGACAAGAGGAATCAGGAAATGAGAGTGACACAAAGTGTTAAACAAATACAGAGCCCAGAAGCAGAGGGGACTGTCTGAGAAAGACAGTTAACAGCATCCCTCTGGACTGCTAGGGACCCTGGACAAAAAGCTGCATGCTATTAGGTGAGGGATTGCTCCTGTGGGACATGCTGAAGTGCAGCTCAAACCATCTGATGCTATTTAATCAGTCATTTGGCTTGGGTTTTGTATTGTGGAATATAATGACTGAAAAGTGTAACAAATTGGCCACAAAACACTATCACCCAGCAGGGACTGGAAAGCCTGAAGGGGGAGGGAGCAAGACAAAGGAATCCACATTCCCTAGAAAGAAAGAGGAGATCTGCTAGCCTGATGGTAACATGAGGTCTCAAAATAGGGATAAAGGAAAATAGGTCTCAGGGTCTTCAGGTTTGAAGTAAAAGGGGAACATGAATGAGGAAACCAAGAAAGGCACTTTTCCAACCATCACCACAGTCTGAATGAGGCAGTACAGCAAGAGCTGAGCCCTAGTCTTCTGAAAGCAGTGAAGATCTGCCTAGATTCAGGCTCAGTAGGATTTGTCCTGGTTTGGGTGTCCTCAGGGACCTGAGGGAAAGTGTTTCAGATCACTGTGAGCCTGACAGTCAATGCTTCTAGCTAATATGAACCAGGCATTTCCATATTATTCTCTTAACAGGCTATAATTGATGCCTATTTTCATAAATCAGGGCACTGTATTCATAACTTCTGCAATAGGCAGGATTCCCAGGAATACATTCCCAGAACATCACACAAGTGATATTCTGTGACCCAGGGGGGGCAGTCAAGCCCCATAGTGGGCAGCCTATTTTATGGTTTTTGGTTGTTCAGCATGAGACAGAAAGTTTTCAGTATTTGAAGTGTGCAGTTTGCCTTCTCCTGGCGATCACTGACAGGCAGAGGAATGTGTGTCTGCCCAAGCGCAGTACTTGTTTAGGTAGTTATAATGATGATCCCCCATGTTTCAAAAGTGAAAGCTAGCATAGGTAGCAGTTTTGAGGACAAAGGACATAAAAAATGGGTATGGGTTGAACATGGTCGTTGACGTAGCCCTTGATTAAAATCTCAAAATTAGGATATTGACATTAAAAACCAGCTACCATTTTGTCCAATTACCAGATGGTGTTTACATGCCAGAAATTATTAGCCCAGCCTCGGGATCCAGAGCATATGTGGAGTGCTGCAAAATGCAGAGAAAATGCTCGTAAAGGCACAAAATCCTTGGGCAGATAGTTGTGCTGGAGAAGGGACGACAGGCATGCAGCATCTCTCTGTAAGTTCATTTCTGCGCTGAGGTGCCA